CTTTCCAATCCCTTCTCCCTTCTCCCTATACAAGCCTTCCATCTTGAACAGCTCCTGGAACTCCTATTTGCTAGATGGGACACTGCCCTATTCGTGAATTATTCAACAAAGCCAGTTAGATCTTTAAAATGCACTTGGTTGCATTTTTGTTATTTAACACACGTGACTATTTGATGCTGTTAACTTGATCATTCACCCTGTCTACGCAATTTTGATGAGGAATGATGATTCAAAAATAGAGAAAGCAGTTCTCACACTAAGTTCTCTTCCTCAGGGGAGACAATTTAGCAAACGCTAGATGACTTTTCATTTTTAACATAATATTGGGCTCAAGGATTTAATCAGACATTTCTTACTTAAATATTCCAGTTCATCCTGGGCATAGGAGGAGGGGCAAGCTCAGGACTTGGGTTCTACAACCAAAGATTCTTGGCTCTTCTTCCCAGGGCAGGAGAGAGGGGAAATCCAGCTACAGCACTGTAGGTTGGGCAAAGTAGGTCTAATGCACTCTTTACATGGCTTACATTACACTCCCACTCCTATGAAAGTGGCCGGCTGGAGCTCAGGGATTCTGGGGGAGTCAGTCAGAATATCCCAAAGCTCTCAGCCACCATTTTCAAAATCGTTAGTCGCCACACAAAAAAACACACAAAAAAAAACAAAAAAAAACCTGTATTTTCAGTAAATTGGCACTGAACAATGAGACAAATGAGACAAGATTTGTGGATAGAATAGTTCCTTCATCTGGGTTATAACGCACATCACTATTAAAGAACTAGGGTTGGAAACACACGGCCTAACTGGAAACAACCTTGTTATTAAAAAGGAATGTGCACTATTTTTCCTTTGCTAACAGAGGGTTTTGTTCAGCCAGCAGCCACAGTCACATCAGAAATAAAAAGCTATTACACTATGAATCAGGTTTCGTTTCAATACCACGAATGAGTCATAAAAGATGTTAATTTGGTTAGGCTGACAGACTGCTCCGCATAATTCGTGTTCACAGGTTGTAGAGTTAGTGCTTATTGGTTATTAAAAAAAAAAAAAAAAAAAAAAAAAAAAAAAAAAAAAGGTCAAGCCTGAGCGCTTCCCAGAATTTATCCACCGAGAATCACATTTGTACAAAAATGAATTTTCCAGGCACAAAAGCCGAATGTGAATGGCCCATGATTAAAATTATTCAAACTTGATTGCTGATGACGATACGAGACATGAGGTGCTGGCCTTACTGTTACGTAGTAAACTTTGTAAACACCTTTAGAATGTCCAGAAAAACTACACATGCATAGGTGTGCATGCACACTACCATCCTCCTGCTCAATTTTGAAGGAAATTGTTTAAGCTCAGCTTAGCTGACAAGAGCAAATGTTCCCAGAGTAAACAACAGTCTGTGAAATAACAAGCCACTAGATGTAACACGTGAGACATTCCTCCCCGCCCCTTCCCCACCCCCCACCCCCTACTCTTACCCCTACTCCCCACCCCTACTTCACGCGCGCGCACACACACACACACACACACACACACACACACACAGTTTAAATGAGGTGTAATTTTCATAAAACATTGTATAAGTTTAAGGTGAACAATATGATGATATGAACACTCATATACTGCAAAATGTTTATCAAACCCTTCACCTCACACCAGTTACCATTTTATTGTTTTGGCAAGAATATTTAAAATCTACTCTTTGACCAACAGCTCCTCATTCCCCAGTCCCCCAGATCCTGATAATTACCCATCTACCCTGATTTATGAGTTCAGCTTTTTTAGATTCAAGTGACATCATACTGTATTTTGTCTTTGTCTGACTTATTTCACTTAATGTAAGGCCTTCAAGGTCCATCCATCTGTCAACAATGGCAGAATTTCCTCTTTTTTAAAAAATTTGTTTTCTAGAATTTCCTTCTTTTTTAGTGCACTGTGTATATATAATAATTTTCTTGATCCACTTATCTGCAGACTCTTAAGATGTTTCCACATCTTGGCTATTGTGAATAAGGCTGTAATGAACATGAGGGTACAGCTCTCTCTTTAACCTGTTTTCATTTTCCTTGGTTATATATCTAAAAATGGAATTGCTAGGTCACATAGTAGCTCTATTTTTAATTTTTTGAGGAACCTTCATACTGTTTTCCATAGCGATGGCACCAGTTTGCATTCTTATCAACAGTGCACAGGGTTCCCTTTGTAAGGAGCTCTTTTTAAAAAAATATATTTTATTGATTTTTACAGAGAGGGATAGAGAGTTAGAAACATCGATGAGAGAGAAACATTGATCAGCTGCCTCCTGCACATCCCCTACTGGGAATGTGCCCGCAACCAAGGTACATTCCCTTGATTGGAATCGAACCTGGGACCTTTTAGTCCACAAGCTGACGCTCTATCCACTGAGCCAAACTGGTTTCAGCAGAAGAGCTCCTTTTTAATGTAAAAACTTGACAATGGCTTTATGAAGGGAGAGCGCTCCATTATTTGGTTCAACTTTTAACAGAGCATTTAATGGTCCCTAAATGAGCCAATGAGAGCCCCATGAACAGAAGGTCTGGCTCATTCTGAAGTGGAATGCAAACTACTTGCCCAGCACTAGAGTTAAAACTCGCCCTAGGTTGCTAATCTGGGATCAGCTGTGCGGCGGCTGCCGTGTGAGTGTTGATTCTATCTACGGTCAAGTGAGAGCGAGATTCTGAGCTCAGCACCTGAGGCCTTGGCAGCAGGAAGGGAAGCGCTCTCTGCTTCCAAGGGTCCTCTTATCCATCACTGTATTTTATCCTAATAAATAAAGTGGTTTTACAATTCCCAATGTTAAAAAACACAAGCACTACTCAAGTAGCAGATGCCAAGAATCACTGTGAACAACATAACAAATCTTCATTAAAAGAATTCTAGGGCTCAGCCAGCCTGGCTCAGTGGTGGAGCATCAACCTATGAACCAGGAGGTCACAGTTCCATTCCTGGACAGGGTACATGCCTGGGTTGCAGGCTCAATCCCCAGTAGGGGGCGTGCAGGAGGCAGTCAATCAATGATTCTCTCATCATTGGTGTTTCTCTCTCCCTCTCCCTTCCTCTCTGAAATCAATAAAAATATATTTTTTTAAAACAAGAATTCAAGGGATACGTATTTTAATTTTACATCTTTAATGAGATGAATAGATTACGAGTGAAATTATACAATGGAAACTGCAGTGAAAAAAATATGGGAAAATATCCCTTCCTCTCTACCTCCCTCCAATCCCCCTTAAAGACACCCATCACAAGTCCCACTGCCATGTGCTTCTGACCCATCAGCTGTAAGTCTGCAGCTCCAATGATCCCCTCCTTGAATTGGATTAATCTCAAAAGCAGCTACGAGAACTCAGAGAAACATATTACTGACTAGATTAGCAATTTATCACAGAGGATCTAATGCAGGGACAGCCTGGTGGAATCAATCCATAGCATGAGGTAGAAGAGAGGGCACAGAGCTTCTTCCATGGTCTCTCCACATGTCCACCGACCCAGCTCTCCCTACTCTGTCCTTTGGCGTTTTACGGAGGCTGCATTACACAGGCATGACGGATTCAATCATTGGCAATTGTTGACTGGTTCAAACCCAACCCCTCTCCCCTCCCCAGAGGTCAGGGGTTAGGACTGAAAATGCCAACACGCTAATCCCATGGTTGGCTCCCCATTCTCAGGAGCACCCAGCCTGGAACATTGGGCCCTGGGGAATATCGAGAGACAAATGACTGTCAGAACCTCACTGGTTCCCCCTGGCCATGCCATCCCTCCCACTCATCCTTCCTCCGCCATGAGAACCACTCGGGGAAGGGAGGAAGCGCGGGAATCAGTTTTCTTCTTATATCTAGTGTCTCCCTCTGTGGAGTCTCCTGTCAAGTTCACAAACATTCTGTCCAGGGACATTTGGGATCCAAAATGAAGGAACAAGCAGGCAGAAGTCAACTGGTCATAAAATTACCCTTTACACCTGAAGTACTCAATGTCTCCAAGAGCACAGCTTTCAAGGCACATAAAATACCAAGTTGTTTGTTTGTTTTATAGAATTTGAACAGCAGTTTGGTCCTTTTTGGGGCATTTGTTTCATGCTGTCCAGTTATATATATAGTGTATATATATATAGTGTATATATATAGTGTATATATATAGTGTATATATATATATAGTGTGTGTGTGTGTGTGTGTGTGTATATATATATATATATATATATATATATATATATATATATATATATCGAGCACCCCGACCCATCCTTCTAAGTAATACAAGAATGTTCCTTTAAGGCAGGATTTAGAAAAACACACAAGTGCCCATAAAAATTCATTTTACTCGAATATTAATCCTTCCACTTTCCTCATTTTTCCACTTCTCATATGCTCAGCTGCTCAAGTGAATTATGCTCCCCTTTGTCAACTGCCCACCCGGCTCTTTTCTCTGCCATTTGGAAATGGACTTCTACTTCTGGGAAGTGACACCCAATTAAAAGGGAGGTGACCTGTCTCCGGCTGGGCAAGGAGTCAAGAGGTCAGTCCACATGTGCTGCACCATCACCTGTCAGAGCCTTGCACCTGCTCCTCCCACCCCAAAGCCCTCTGAATGACAGCTTGGTTAACCCTTCAGGAATGTCCCAGCAGAGTTTCAGGGCCCAGGGTCGCCCTGTTCTCCCCAGCAGTGCCGTTCCTGCCCCCAAACGAAGCCTGAAAGGAAATCCTTGATGAAAATGCCCCTCTTTTTGCTTCTAATCCACCCTTCTTTCTTCACTTCCGGTCCTCAGGCATTGTCACGGGCACTTATTCAGATTGCCCAATATAATAGCAAGATGTGAGCTATTTCTTAAACAAGTCCTCACTGGATTTGCTTGGATTTTCTTTTCCCATTCTTGTAAAGTCCTACTTGCGTCTCTGTCACTAAAATATCATTTCAGAGCTCTATGTTGGCGGCTCCGTCTCCTCTCCCCTCAGTCCCCCATTAGCCACAACACTGAGAGGAAGTCTCCTACCTTTCACTGAGGCTTCTCCACAGCTGTGCACCTGCAATGAGGAGAAGGGAAAGGTGAAACTTAACCAGGGCATTTTCCTCTGGAGGCATTTCTCATCTTAGAAACACTCTGACCTATTTAAAATGCAATGCTTATGTTTTTCAACTCTAGAACTTTGCAATCATACTTTGTACATTTCTGATATCATAACTAATTCAAGCAATTAACCCACACATACTTACTGAGAGACTACTACATGCACAACACTTGGATAGGTACCCTGGGAGAGGGAAAACCATATACCATATGGTCCTGTCTTGAGTGGTGCAACCAAAACTTGCCCTCAAGTAAATGCGAACCAAGGAAAACAGTACACAAACAGCACAAACCATGAGAGTCCTGGGGAAGACAGAGCACCTGGAACAGAGGTGGTGCTTTTGGTGGTGGCTGTTGTTAATCCTCACCTGAGAATATTTTTCCCTTTAATTTTCAGAGAGAGTGGAAAGGAGGAAAGCGGGGAGGGGGGGGGGGAAATGTGGATATGAGACACATCAATTGGTTGCCTTCTGCATGCACTCCAACAGGTCGAGGATTGAACCTGCAACCCAGGTATGTGCCCTTCGGCGTATGGACCGATGCTCTACCCACTTAACCACACCAGCCAGGGCAAAAGAGACATGATCTTTGAAATGGCATTTAACGCAATCTTTGAAATGGTGCTGACAAATGGGGTACTAAGACATTTTATTTGAGAAAGGGGTGTTTTATTTATTCATTCTTTAGGTATTTTGAGCTTATATCTAGGCTCAAATAAAACTGACAGAAAAAATATATACATAGATCTCATTTCCTTTCTTAATTCCTCAGTAACTTTCTTCACCAGATTATGCTTTAATATTAAACTTTCAATTATCAGCTTCAATGAAATGGCTATAAGACAGTTTCAGCATTTACCATCAAATGACAAAGATGTCTCCTATTCTTCAGTGTCCCCTACCAAAGATCTATGTGACAAGTTCTGTTAAAATTTAACCCTAGGGAAAATGTTTCTCAAAATTGCCTGCATCCTTTCATCATACTATTAGAATGGTACATCTGATTTGGTTTCCCTTGTTGCCTTGGCTGCCAGTAAGCCCAGACATAAATCTGTTGCTCCATTAAGGTCACCATGTTAGAATCCTGTTCTTCTACTAGACCTCTTGTCAGCAATCTTATGTTCCTTATAGGCTGCCTCAGCTATTTTAGAGTTAAATGGAATATCAAAATAAACAATACAAAATACAAGGAATTATGCACTAGAGAGGTCTCAACAAATGTTGGAAAGCTGAGTAAGCTAAAATCCTAGAAGTACCAACTCCCCTTGTCAAATAACATTTCTCTGACAACACTGGAGCCAAGAGTGGGGAAAAGAGGTAACGGTACTGGGTGTTGCCTTGTTATTAGAAATTGGAAAAATGAGCATGGCTGCTCCCATGGAGAATAGTAAGGACAGTGGCACTGCAATCACAGAGCACAGACTAGGCTGGGGCTGCCCAGGGCCGAGGGACAGTGCAGTGTAAGAAGCTGAGCAGGAAAACACTTGAACTATGCACCAAGAGCTGGTCCAACCGCAATGAGTGGCAGGAGCCTGGACAAAGGAGTCCACTGACAACTGATCTTCAGCCTCTGCAGGGGTTGGAGACACTGTACTTTCCCAAGGCTAAGGTAAAAAGGAGGCCACTAATATGTGACCGAACCCAGATTGTCATACAAGCCATCAGGGTACAAGCAGGAATGACAGGGAATGGAGGGGCACATGGGAATAAAGTGAATAGCCACGGTTCCTGGCAGGTCCGTGTTGTGTAGCAACCAGCACGTGGCTCAAATGAGGAGTGCAGATTTTGCAGGAGGAAAGGGGTAAATAGAGACAGTGGGTGGAAATACTACTCAGGTGGCCATGGGGAGCCCTTCTGAGCCCACAGCATCTTAAAGGGAGCTGGATGGGCAGTCAGTGCCTTAGCAATGACAGAGAGGAGGAAGTGGTCAAGGAGAAGTCAAGTCTAAGTGGTCATGGAGGTTGCCCATGCTGATGAGTCGTAACAGACACTAGAAGGATCTCTATGCTTTTGCTCACCTATTTCTCAGTAAGCACCTAAAACAGTATTAAAGCTGAAACTGGTGTGGCTCAGTGAACACATTGTCAGCCTGCAGACTCAAGGGTCCTGGGTTCGATTCTGGTCAAGGGCATGTACCCTGGTTATGGGGACATCCCCACTAGGGGGTGTGCAGGAGGCAGCGGATCGATATTTCTCTCTCATCGATGTTTCTAACTCTCTATCCCTCACCCTTCCTCTCTGTAAAAAAATCAATAAAGTATACTGAAGAAAAAAATTAAAAAAATAAAACAGTATTAAAATAATGAAGGACTACAATTAAATTCTTAACAGTGGACGAGTAATATCTTTAGCCAAGTGGAGAAGTGGAAGGATAGCCGGAGACGGAGCAGCCCCCAGAGCCCTGATGACTGGGTCCTCCTTTCCTCCTTGCGATTGCTGTCAGCCAAGTATCTAGCGAGAGCGGCTGGCAGTTCTGCTTGAGGCCCTGGTGTTCCTATAACTGCATCTGGATCTAATTTCAAGCCGATTCTGAGCCTCCCAGAGACCAATTCATCACAGCCAGCCTGGGCCGAACGGCCTGCAAAGTCAGGCTCCTGCCAGCTACTTCCAGCCTCAGATGGGTCTTTGTCCTAAAAGGCTTGGCGGAGAAGACGAAGCAGGCACCAGTGTTCCTGCCATCATAGACTGGATAGTGCTGGGAAAGTACAGTCATTCATCCAGTTTCTCAGCTTTGTTTTTTCCATGGAGCAGAAATGCTGGATTCAGAGCAATGTGCCCAGGGAAAACCCTGACAGAAAGATTGGCCACTGACAGATGTCTGTCCCACTGGGTGGAGAGGCCAGGGGTGTGTCTGAATTGCACCGGAAGCCCAGCACCTACACAGGCCCTGGCACAGAAAGGCCCTCACAGACTGAATGATGAGGGAGCCACCCCACGTTGCTCCCATTAAGTGGCAGAGTGGAACAGAGTAGACTGTTACTGTGCCCAAGGCACTTCTGTTTCACCCTCTTTTTTTTTTAAAATATATTTTATTGATTTTTTACAGAGAGGAAGGGAGAGAGATAGAGAGCTAGAAACATCGATGAGAGAGAAACATCGGCCAGCTGCCTCTTGCACACCCCCTACTGGGGATGTGCCCACAACCAACGTACATGCCCCTGACTGGAATCAAACCTGGGACCTTTCAGTCCGCAGACCGATGCTCTACCACTGAGCCAAACCGGCTTCGGCTGTTTCACCCTCTTTTTTGTTTTGTTTTGTTTTTGTTTTTTTGTTTCACCCTCTTATTCAACCCTTACGTAGCCCTGGAGTAGGGGTTGGCTTCTCCCATTTCATAAGGTAAAGAGGTTCAGAGATAGTAGTAGGCTGAATCATGGCTCCCAAAGACATCAGGTTTTAACCCCTGGAACCTGTAAAATGTTACTTTTATGGACAAAGGGATTTACCAGATGTGATTAAGCTAAGGGTCTTGAGATGGGAGATTATCCAGATGGGCCCCAAATACAGTCAGTGTTCTTGTATGAGAAGCGCAGAGGGAGATTTGACACAGACAGGAGACAGTAATGTGATCATGAAGGCAAAGACTGGACTGATGTGGCTACAAGCCAAGGACACCAGCAAATCCAGGTAGAAAAGGAAGAGATCAGTGCCTTCCATAGAGCCTCCAAAGGGAACAGAGCCCTGCTGACACCTTGACTTTGGCCCAGTGATGCTGATTTTGAACTTCTGACCTCCAGAACCATGTGTGAAGAAATTTCTGTTGTTTGGAGCCACCAAGTTTGTGGTAATTTCTTAGGGCAGCCATTGGACATGAATACAGCCTTGATGGGTCTCTCCACAGCTAGAAAATGGAATGAATCAGCTCAAGAATTAGACCCTTTAGGTTACAAGTCTCCCAACTCTGCCACCTTAATTTTTTTTAAAGGACCAAATCCTTGCAATGCAGAGGTTCCTTGTAATTCGTGAATATGAAAGTTCCATATTTGCAAGAACATGAAGCAATGAGTCAGTGCTGAACACAATCTCTGTGCTAGGGGCCAAGTGTGAGAGGACAGCTAAGAAGTCTTTCAGCTTCATCGTGGGCCTTCCACATTTGTCTGTTCTTTGTAACACGTGCTGGGACCAAATCGGATGCACCACTGAAAATATGGAGATGCTCAGTTTGCTCTGTGAGTCCACTTCTGCTACTGAGCTAAAATAACTAGGGATAAAATTTGTCAGTGGCCATTTCTACTAAGATTTCCAAGAGGAAGGTTCTGGAGGGTGAACATGTGACAAAGTATATTTGAGAACACCAGGCTGTCCTCTACCAGTTAGGAGTCAAGGCAGAGACATGGGGACCACCACACACTGATCCCGCCGACCCTGGTACAAGATCCCATAGCACTGAGATGCTCCACCTCAGGGCGGCCTTCACACATCTGGGTAAACAGAGAGCATCAGGGCTGGTGCCTGTTAGGGTTAAAAGTTAGGAGTCTGTTTTCTGACACAGAAGAGGGGATTAGGGAAGAAAGAGGAGAAGAGGGTGAGAAGGAAGAACACATCCAAGAATATAATCTAAATCAGCGGTGGATCACATCCGGCCTGCGGGTCATATAAGACCACAAAATCATTTGGCCAAGGCATTAGGGGTGAGTTAACTAAATGTTGGATGAAATAGAGCAGGCTAATTTTTAAGTTGGTAATTTTGTATGATGTTATAAATATTCAAATGGCCCTTGGCAGAAAAATGGTTCCCCACCCTTGGTCTAAATCTACAGATTCATGAAAAGCAATAGCTAGACAAAAACAAGTTTGTTCACCTTCCCAGAACACTAGAATGAAGAAATTTTAGTTTAAGAATATAAAGACTTAAAATATAGACTGGATTGCAGTCCACACCATGATAGTCAATGCGTAATACCTGATACCCTTGGTCTCAGAGTTGGCATCAGGAGAGGGGTGTACCCCACAAAGAGGCCTCAGTGCCCCCGTCGGGGCTAAAACTCTGGGCAGGTCTTACGCACGTTCATCATGTGAACCCCAATCAAAATTATCTGTCCACTTGGAATTACGTGTAGTGAAGTCAAACACCTAAATATAATGTTCTCTTAGCTATCTTTGATCAAATCAATCTTACCACATTCACGGGGCTCAATTATTCCAAGGAGGGATTTTTGCCCATTTTCAAAATAAGCTCAAACCCTAGTAGAAGAGGACCCTCCACGTATGAAAAAGCTTGGCTCAGATTTATGATAAACTAAGTTTATTTATGAAAAAGCAAAAAATAATGTTCTCACTTTTAAACTTAATATTTACAATTCATTTTTCATCAGCAACTACATTTTAAAAAATGTTAATCATTACTTACTTGTTTTTTAAGCCCTGAATTATTTGTTGTTCATTTTGAGGTAGAAAAAAAAATTTACATAAACCAGTCCATTTTTGAATGGCCCACTTTCATCATGTAGTATGTGATAAATATTTAACTGTTATCATCACTGATATCCTTAAATATCAAAATGATAGTTAAATAATAGTGCTTAGAGCTAAAAGAGAAACCAAAACATATAAACCTTTTGCCCAAGAGCAGTAGCTATAAGTAGGGACAACATCAGTTAAATAAATAACAAATGTTAAATAAATGTTTAATAAATAAATACTTAATCAACATTAAAAGTAGCAAAGTCAATGCCTGTATCACCTGACTTCCTGGTCCTTTTCAAAGGACTTCTAGTTCAGATGCCTGCACAAAAATCAGACATTCAGGCTCTAGAAAACTAAACCCCATCAGAGTGAATTCTGAGCTTTCTTACCTCTCTTTCTAGACAAAACCATATCCTTTATTATTTGCATAATAACTCGCCCAAGTATCGAGACGGCAATCAGGTGATACACTCTCCATGGAGTCAATGCAAGGAACCTATTAGAGCAAAAACAGACAAATCATTTCGGTTTGAGGATTTTTATCTTTCATTTTTATTTTTTTAATTAGGTTCAATTTCTGACACATACTCAACAATTTCACTTTTCATATCACCCCAATCTGAGCACATCCACGTCATTTAATAGGCATTGATGTCAGCAAAATAAAAGCACTTGATCCATGTGTACTTTTGTCCTAGGTTACTCTACCCTCTAATTTTGGCAGAGAATCTGCTCTCCTGGGCACAGCCCAAATTTCGCTCTGCTAACAGATAGAGAATGGAATTGACCTGAAACAGAATTATGATAGGCTGCAAAGGCAGAGCCACCGGGTTCAATACAAACAGAGAAGCCACAGTAGAAGCCCAGTCCTCCATTTTATGTTTTACTTTTATGCCATCTTCATTTCTTTAACTACTGTACCCTCCCCGCCAATCTCAAAAATAGCAGTTATTAAGAATTCAATTTGCTAATAACCACTTCTCTTTAAAATCACTACCCTTTTGTCCATTTGCCCACCTCCTCTCCAGAGAAAAACAAAGAATCCTTTATCCTGAACAGCATACAGACCCTACAGCACTTTAAAAAAAATTGACTTATCAAGGAATGGAATGGTAAAGTCACAAGGAGCTCTGGAGGCTTCCTATGGAGGTTGAAGCCCATTTTACACTAGTCAATTGGCCAAGCTAATAATGATATGAACATTTATGTAATCATAATTCATAAAAATTAACTTAACAAATGCATCGTGTACTGCTAACTGCAAGGCATTATAGAGATTGTAGAGAGCTACAGAACATATGAGCACTGCCTTCTGGAAACTTACTTCCTCATCAGAGAGACTAAGACAGATGAGCTAGCCAAGTACCTCGCAGGGCGTCTGTCTAGGAACACAGGTAAACAGCTCGGCACACGGCATGGCCCTTTCAGGGACATCATATCCTGATGTCATCCCAGGAACACACCATCCACTTGTATTTCTTTCTTTCTTTTTTTGTTAATGTATTTTATTGATTTTTTACAGAGAAGAAGGGAGAAGGATAGAGAGTTAGAAACATGGATGAGAGAGAAACATCGATCAGCTGCCTCCTGCACACCTCCTACTGAGGATGTGCCTGCAACCAAGGTAAGTGCTCTTGACCAGAATCCAACGTGGGACCTTTCAGTCCACAGGCTGAAGCTCTATCCACTGAGCCAAACGAGTTTCGGACACTTATATTTCTTATTCAATGATGAAATTCTGAAAAAAAAAAACAAAAAAAACCACACAGCCAAAACCCAATTGGCTCAGTGGATAGAGCATCCGCCTGCGGACTGAAGGGTCCCAGGTTTGATTCTGGTCAAGTGCACGTACCTTGGTTGCAGGCACATCCCCAGTAGGGGATGTGCAGGAGGCAGCTGATCGATGTTTCTCTCTCATCCATGTTTTTAACTCTCAATCCCTCTCTTTTCCTCTCGGTAAAAAATCAATATATATATCACACACTACCCAGAGCTGGGTGTGGACTCGTCACTGTAGTTTCCAAGGATGCATCAAGTGGCAGAACAGTGAAGACACTCTTGGTCAGTCCCTATGAGAGCAACACTGGGACAGGAGGTTCAAAGCCAGGGATCATACCCTACTTGATGCAACTGCCCTAACAAAGGTGGGAAATGTTTTCAAAACCTAAGTTTTTTTTTAAAAAGGGGGGAGTTTGTGGTGTGTCCAATGGCAGGCTTTCTAGTTGCTGGCAAAGAAGGGGAGAATCGTGACCCGTTATTCCCAGTGCTTGGGGCGTTACGACTCCTTGCTGCTCTGTGGCCAAACCTGAGGCACGGGAAAAAGTGGCTGCAAATATTTGAGCATCAATATTAGTATCAGGAACGTCCACTGTGGGCCCACATGCCAATGGACACTGTCCAGATGCATTTCGATGACAGGACAACCTCAAGCCCAGAGTGTATGCCATCCCAAGCAGAAAAGCCATTTCTCATTCTTTCCTAAGGGCCCAATTCAAAAGGAGCACAGAGACAAAAACAAACAGGAAGACAGAGATAGAGACAGAGACAAAGACACAGAGATACAGAGACAGGGCATCCCTATGGATGAGTTTACAGGCCTACGTGGTCTGGCGGCCTCACAGGCCCCAGTCCTTATAACACCCGATACCCTATTTCTAGAGCATTCCAAACTGAGAGTGAACCAGGGTTTAGAATGAATGTCTTCTGATGGCTGTCAATTCTTCAGGTTCTCCCAACTTTAGCTCCTGATCTTGGGACCTCCTGGATCCCTCAGCAGGTTCAGGAAGCTAGGCAAGCAAAGATCCGGTTCAGGCAGCTTATTCTGTCATCCCCCGTGCCCCCTTCCCCCCCACCCTTAACACACACACCCCAATGGAGGGGGTGTGCACACTAGTTTCGGGCTCCTTTCTGCTGTAAAGTTATTTTTTATTTAAAATGATACTTTAATGTCTTCTTTCACATTTAGTGATTTTTAAAATAAGTTTCAGCCGAAATCGGTTTGGCTCAGTGGATAGAGCATCGGTCTGCGGACTGAAAGGTCCCGGGTTCGATTCCGGTCAAGGGCATGTGCATTGGTTGCGGGCACATCCCCGGTGGGGGGTATGCAGGAGGTAGCTGGTCGATGTTTCTCTCTCATCGATGTTTCTGGCTCTCTGTCCCTCTCCCTTCCTCTCTGTAAAAAATCAATAAAATATATATTTTTAAAAAATAATAATAATAAAATAAAATAAGTTTCAGTAGATGGCACAAAATGTAACAGAACATTTTTCAGTGGGAAACTGGGATTCTGGAAAGGCCGCACAGGGCCAGGCACTGGCCTGAGTGCTTCCTGTCCCTTAAGATTGCTGTCTCCCTGATCCTCACTGTTATTCTGTAAGGCCCTCGCCTTTTACAAATGAGGAAACTGAAGCTCAGAGAGATTGAGTCACTTATCTGGGTTCACCTAGCTAGGAGCTAATTCACATCTTATTTCAGAACTCCTTAATCCCCAGCCACAGACACACACACACACACACACGCATATACTTGCCCATCTCTGTGTTTGTTTCCTCTATATTTTAGTCCAAAAAGCAATGGAGAGAGCCAAACTATCTACAATCCCACAAAATAAGTGCAAATAGATAAGAAAATTGGCAACGGGAAAATAAACAAAAAAGATTACTCAATTCTGAGGCTAGCCTGCAAGAATTCAAGCCATGAGCTGAACTGCAAGAAGAAAGCCACAAACTGGGATCCGAGAAGACCTCTTTAGGCTAAGACTTCATGCTTCATCGTGAGAATCCCTTTTACCCCAATCAGAGAAGACAAACTAACACAGAGCTCATTTTCATATCTTCTTAATAAGAAGCACAGCAAAGGACTGAGCAAAGCAGCCAGTACACAGACAGCCACCCAGACTCCCTTTGAGAGCCCGGAACCACAATAAGGACCCAACACCACCCTGACTTGTTAGAAGTGACTCTGTGGGGATGTTTGCTTGCTTTCCAGTCTTTTCATTGTTTGCCAAGGCAGAGCTGTAAACCAGGAAGAAAGAGAAGTGTTGATTGGGAGTGTGCCAGCAGGGAACAAAGCTACCTCCTCACGCTGGGTTCAAACTCACGTGGGTGTGTCAGAAGCACTGCCTTTGCCCAGCAGGTCTGCCCGTCCCAGCTCCCTCTGTGTGCCCATGTAGGGCAGTGCCAGGGGTAGAAACAACCCTAACAACTTTCTCTAATTAAACAAGGGAGACCAAGCCGTCCCTCAGCACAGCCCTAACCAAGCTCCAACGGAAAACACGTCTCTGCTGATCATTCCACCTGAGACTTCCAAGCCCATATTAACTCTCCAAACAAGACAGACAACGCCCGTGAAAAACAAGGCGGGGAAGAAGAAGAAAAGAATACGTAATAAGGAAAGATGACCGTTTCCCATTAAGTTCTCCACGTGAGCGCCTTAGCTTCTGTGCTTTTAACATTTGCCCTTAAGCACAAACAAGAAAAGAAAACGCCTCTGTTCAACCACAAACGCAGTCAGCAGGGACTCAGGCTGGAATAGAACAGGATCCACATTTTCATCACAGGCCTGTGCTGCTACCAGATGAGAAGAGAATGAGAGGTAAAATCCAAAAGCCTGGCAAAGGCACAGAAGTGAGTCAAGATACCATCCCGTGGACGACGGTCACACTGGTTAGCCACACATGCTAAAAACCATTCTCCCTGGCAGACGGCAATCCACTTAGAGCCCTCCACTGCTTTCCCAGAGTAATGCTTTTTCCTTCTTAGTACTCATCTTGATTCCTACTTGTCCATTTGTCTGTCCGTTGTTTACCATTTCCTGACACCACTCTGCAAAGTTCATGAGGGAAGGATCCAGTCTCCTCTGTTTGCTGATGTCACCCCAGCAATTGGTCACTAACTCGCCAACAGCAGGTGCTCAATAAATACATTTTATATTGTTGTTTATTCAATGTATGTTAATGTGCATCAACTAATGCAAATAATCATGCATGTAACTGACATAATCATCAAGGATTAAATCCCTAAAGTACACTATTATAACAGTAACCATTTGCCAAATGAAAAAACAAAAATGTATGCAGGAGCATAAAAAGTTCCATACAATTTTTTGAAGACCTTCCATGAAGCAACTGAGAACATGAACTTGGGTCCTTGGCTCAGATTAATATTTCTCTTTAAGGGAAGACTGGGCTTCTCACTAGCTATTGGACGTCAGTCTGTCTCTCCTAACTGCCACCGGGCCAAAGCCCTGTTGGGAGGATGTGGTCGGTCAAGCCAAAGGGATGGTGCCTCGATACCTCATGCATCCTTGTCTCCATAGGCGCAGCAAGTCTAAGAAGCCATGCTTACAGGGAAAGTTACACCAATGCACAATATATGTTTGGGAGTTCTTCTAACTGCCATCCTCTATATTTTTATTTTATTTATTTATTTATTAGAGAGAGAGAGAGAGAGAGAGAGAGAGAGAGAGAGAGAGACATCGATTTGTTGTTCCACTTAT